CCCCCCCCCCTAAAAAAACAAAAACAAGTTAGAAAAACAACAACAACAAACATAGCATCAATTAAATATCCAACCATTATTTTATTTTCTTGTGGTTGAAAATGTGAAAACATACACAATATTTCATATTTCTTGCAGTGTTATAGTGTATATGATGACGTCATGACACATCACACATTTATGAACTACGTCAGATGATGGGAGATAACTCGGCAGGGGGCGGCACATGGTGATCACTCTCCTGTCCCGTCTAGTAGCCTTTTTTAAGCTGGATCAATTTTGCATTATATCCCGCGTCTGTTGTTACTGTTGATGGTTCCGCAGATCGGACACCGCTATTTTGAGATGTGTGTTACACAGTAAAACTGACCCTCATGATCATCAATATATGGTGAACGTGGCCTACGATGTTCAGAATCTAGCCTATATTTTTCGAAAATCGCCGAGCTTCTTTGGATTAAACTTACTCTCCAGTCCTTGAAGTTCGACAACTCTTGGTAATACTGGCAAGTGAATATGGAAGGTGAGATTTATATGATGTTGTTAAGATTTTGCCGACTTGATTTATTTTTGTTATGATTTATTTTTTTATATAAAATAAGATAACTGGCCGACGAGTTTCCAGAGAATGTTTATGAACATTGATCCTTTGTTACTTCAGACTATTTGGTGCCTAAGACAATACAATTGTAACATAACAGGGATTGTATTTGAAAAACAGTTTTATATTTATACAAGTTAAATAATGAAAACGTAGTCATGCATAAACATGTAAATACCATTGGTGTAGTTGTATTAAGATACTCGTATAATATTATGTGCATTTTGGTGTTTGATGTTAGAGATCAATTACAACATTAACCTTAGTAGCGGTAGATGCCACTTTGGTTTGTTTGTGAGTCGTTGTATAATGATCACTGCTCGTTATGTATTGTTCGAAACAAAGAATTATGCAGGTTTAGTGGATAATTACGGAATGGTTGCATGCTAAAAGAATATACATTAAGGTCTTACTAATTACACACCGTTTATTCAAAAGCAATTACTAGGAATTTAGAAACGTTGTCTTGTCTCTTGGGGAACACATATCCCCCTTTTAGCCGTATACCATAGCATTGTATAAAACTCCGTTTTGAATGCACAATCAAGAAAAATAAGACTCCATTACGTAACTCTTTTATATGCAAGTGCAAAACAAATTATTTTGTGTTTTTATCATTTGTGAGAATGTGCTTGTCTACGTGAACAAACTGCTTAGTAAGCCCAATATTACATCAGCCAGACTTAAAAATAATAATTAAAATAACTGAATACTGGAATAGTGTTGGTTCATTTCGTATTTACAGTTAATTCAGTACTGAATTATCAAGTACTGTCAAAATTACCTCGGTATTGTATTTAGCATTGAAGCTCTTAATTCCTGAAATTATCCTGTAGTGTATTAAACATTGGAGCATTGGTGATTAAATGAATAACCCCGTAGTGTTATCAGTATTGAAGAATTGGTAAAATAATAAATTGTCCCTTAGTGTGTTAAATATTAAATCCGTGTGCATTGTCAAACAGTTCTCCAGTGGATAAGATATTGGAACCTGAATGATCAAGTAAACTAACCCGTAATGTACTCAGTATTGAAGCAATATCTTTTATTGAATAACACCGTCGTGTATTTAGTATTGAAGCATTGCCAACTTGGCACGTAGTGTACTTATTAAGGATTGAAGCATTGCTAACTTGGCACGTAGTGTACTTATTTAGTATTGAAGCATTGCCAACTTGGCACGTAGTGTACTTATTAAGGATTGAAGCATTGCTGATTTATTGAATTACTTTGTAATGTACATGTGTTATGTATGAAGCTTTGATGATTTTCGAACAACCACGAATTTAATTGAGTCTTGAAGTATTTTCGATTTAATTGTCCATTAGCGTAGTATGTATTGAATCATTGCTGGTTTATTGCATTGTTGAGCTTATTAACTCAGATAAAGGATTCTACGAAAACTAGTATTATCATAAACTAGGGATTTTTTTCAAATACTATATTGGAACAGACGTTTTATAACCATATGGGCCGAATAAACGTTTCAGTGTATAAAGGTGTGTTAAGGTAGTCAAG